ATATCAGGGCTCTCTAGTCTGTTCCATTGGGCTATGGGTCTGTTCTTGTGCCAGTACCAAATTGTCTTGATTACTGTGGCTTTGTAGTAGAGCTTGAAGTTGGGGAGCATAATTTCCCCTGCTTTATTTACCCTTCTCAGGATTGCTCTGGTTATTCGAGGTCTTTTGTGGGTCCATATGAATTTTAGGATGATTTTTCTCTAGTTTGTTGAAGAATGCTGTTGGTATTTTGATAGGAATTGCTTTGAATCTACAGATTGCTTTAGGCAGGATGGCCATTTTGACAATATTAATTCTTCCTATCTATGAGCATGGGATGTGTTTCCATTTATTGGTATCTTCTTTAATTTCTCTCATTAGTGTCTTGTAGTTTTCAGAGTATAGGTCTTTCACTTCCTTGGTTAGGTTTATTCCTAGGTATTTTTTTTTTTTTTGATGTAATTGTGAATGGAATTGTTTTCCCAATTTCTCTCTCTCATTGTTAATGTATAGGAATGCCACAGATTTCTGTGTATTAATTTTGTATCCTGCAACTTTGCTGAATTCTGATATCAGATCTAGTAGTTTTGGAGTGGATTCTTTAGGGTTTTTTATGTACAATATCATGTCATCTGCAAACAGGGACAGTTTAACTTCTTCCCTACCAATCTGGATGCCTTTTCTTTGTGTTGTGTGATTGCCATGTCTAGGACCTCCAGTACTATGTTGAATAGATGTGGGGAGAGTGGGCATCCTTGTCTTGTTCCCGATCTTAAAGGAAAAGCTTTCAGCTTCTCACAGTTAAGTGTAATGTTGGCTGTGGGTTTGTCATATATGGCCTTTATTATGTTGAGGTACTTGCGCTCTCTACCCATTTTGTTGAGAGTTTTTATCATGAATGGATGTTGAATTTCGTCGAATGCTTTTTCAGCATCTATGGAGATGATGATGTGTTTTTTGTCCTTCTTTTTGTTGATGTGGTGGATGATGTTGATGAATTTTCGAATGTTGTACCATCCTTGCATCCCTGGCATAAATCCAACTTGATCATGATGGATGATCTTTTTGATGTATCAGTTTGCTAATATTTTGTTGCATATTTTTGCATCTGTGTTCATCAGGGATATTGGTCTGTAATTTTCTTTTCTTGTGGTGTCTTTGCCTGGTTTTGGTATTAAAGTGTTGCTGGCCTCATAGAATGAGTTTGGAAGTATTCCCTCCTCTTGTATTTTTTGGAAAACTTTAAGGGGAATGGGTATTAGGTTTTCACTAAATGTTTGATAAAATTCAGCGGTAAAGCTATCTGGTCCAGGAGTTTTGTTCTTAGGTAGGTTTTTGATAACCAGTTAAATTTCGTTGCTGATAATTGGTCTGTTCAGATTTTCTGTTTCTTCCTTGGTCAGCCTTGGAAGGTTGTATTTTTCTAGAAAGTTGTCCATTTCTTCCAGGTTATCCAGTTTGTCAGCATATAAATTTTCATAGTATTCTCTAATAATTCTTTGTATTTCTGTGGTTTCTGTAGTGATTTTTCCTTTCTTATTTCTGATTATGTGTGTAGACTCTTTTTTTCTTGATAAGTCTGGCTAGGGGTTTATCTACTTTGTTTTTCTCAAAGAACCAGCTCTTGCTTTCATTGATTCTTTCTATTGTTTTATTCTTCTCAATTTTATTTATTTCTGCTATAATCTTTATTATGTCGCTACTTCTACTGACTTTGGGCCTCATTTGTTGTTCTTTTTCTAGTTTCATTAATTGTGAGTTTAGACTGCTTATATGGGATTGTTCTTCTTTCTTGAGGTAGGCCTGTATTGCAATATACTTTCCTCTTAGCACAGCCTTGGCTGTGTCCCACAGATTTTGCAGTGTTCAATTATTGTTGTCATTTGTCTCCATATCTTGCTTGATCTCTGTTTTTATTTGGTCATTGATCCATTGGTTATTTAGGAGCATGTTGTGAAGCCTCCATGTGTTTGTGGGATTTTTCATTTTCTTTGCATTATTTATTTCTAGTTTCACAGCTTTGTGATCTGAGAAACTGGTTGGTACAATTTCAATATTTTTTAATTTACTGAGGCTCTTTTTGTGGCCTAGTATATGATCTATTCTTGAAAATATTCCATGTGCACTTGAGAAGAATATGTATTCTGTTGCTTTTGGGTGTAGAGTTCTGTAGATGTCTGTTAGGGCCATCTGTTGTATTGTGTTGTTCAGTGCCTCTGTCTATTTATCTTCTGTCTGGTTGATCTGTTCCTTCAGAGTGAGTGGAGTGTTGAAGTCTCCTAGAATGAATGCATTGCATTCTATTTCCCCTTTTAATTCTGTTAGTATTTGTTTCACATAAGTGGGTGCTCCTGTGTTGGGAGCATAGATATTTATAATGGTTATGTCTTCTTGTTGGATTGACCCCTTTATCATTATATAATGTATCTTTGTCTCTTGTTACATTCTGTGTTTTGAAGTCTATTTTGTCTGATACAAGTATTGCAACACCTGCTTTTTTTCTGTTAGTTGCATGAAATATCTTTTTCCATCCCTTCACTTTTAGTCTGTGTATATCTTTGGGTTTAAAGTGAGTCTCTTGCAGGCAGCATATAGATGGGTCTTGTTTTCTAATCCATTCAGTGACTCTGTCTTTTGATTGGTGCATTCAGTCCATTTACATTTAGGGTGATTATCGATCGGTATGTACTTATTGCCATTGCAGGCTTTAGATTCGTGATTACCAAAGGTTCCAGGTTACTTTCCTTACTATCTAAGGGTCTAACTTAACTCACTTAATATGGTGTTACAAACACAATCTAACGTTCTTTTCTTTTTCTCCTCCTTTTTCTTCCTCCTCCATTCTTTATATATTAGGTATCATATTCTATATTCTTTGTCTATCCCTTGGTTGACTTTGGGGATAGTTAATTTAATCTTGCATTTTCTTAGTAATTAGCTGTTCTACTTTCTTTAGTGTGGTTTTATTTCCTCTGGTAACAGCTATTAAACCTTAGGAACACTTCCATCTATAGTAGTCCCTCCAAAATAGACTGTAGAGATGGTCTGTGGGAGGTAAATTCTCTCAGCTTTTGCTTGTTTGGGAATTGTTTAATCCCTAATTCAAATTTAAATGATAATCTTGCTGGATAAAGTAATCTTGGTTCCAGGCCCTTCTGCTTCATTGCATTAAATACATCATGCCACTCCCTTCTGGCCTGTAAGGTTTCTGCTGAGAAGTCTGATGGTAACCTGATGGGCTTTCCTTTGTATGTGATCTTACTTCTTTCTCTGGCTGCTTTTAATAGTCTGTCCTTATCCTTGATCTTTGCCAATTTTATTACTATCTGTCTTGGTGTGGTCTTTCTTGCGTCCATTGTGTTGGGAGATCTCTGGGTCTCCATGGCCTCAGAGACTATCTCCTTCCCCAGATTGGGGAAGTTTTCAGCAACTACCTCTTCAAAGACACTTTCTATCCCTTTCTCTTTCTCTTCTTCTTCTGTTATCCCTATAATGTGAATGTTGTTCTGTTTTGATTGGTCACACAGTTCTCTCAATATTCTTTCATTCTTAGAGATCCTTTTTTTCTCTCTGTGTCTCAGCTTCTTTGTATTCCTCTTCTCTAGTTTCTATTTCATTTATCCTCTCCTCCACTGTATCCAACCTGCTTTTAATACCCACCATCATGCTCTTCAGTGATTGGATCTCCGATCTGAATTCATTCCTGAGTTCTTGGATATCTTTCTGTACCTCCATTAGCATGCTGATTTTTATTTTGAACTCCCTTTCAGGAAGTATTGTAAGGTCCATGTCATTTAAATATTTCTCCAGAGTTGTATTAATTTTACTCTGGACCAGGTTCCTTTGGTGTTTCATATTTGTATATGGCGCCCTCTAGTGTCCAGAAGCTCTACACTGGAGCTGCTCAGCCCCTGAAGCAATGTTGGGGTCACAGGGGAGCGGTACTGGTGCCTAGGGGGAGGAAAGAGCTGTTTCCCACTTTCCGGCTGCTGTGCCTGTCTCCACTGCCTTAACCAGTGGTCTGAGCACACAGGTATAAACTTTTGTCCCAGAGCAGCCGGATATGGATCCCTGCTTTCCACAAGCGGCTGGAATCTCAGTCTCTCCAGGAATTCTGACTCTATTAACTTTCCAACCCAGGACTCATGTATCATGAAAGCACCATGAAATGTAGGTTTGTGCTCCCAGAGCATATCTCCAGAGCTAGGTATTAGGCAGTCCCAGGCCTTCCACTCCCTCCCTGCTCCAATTCTCTTCCTCCCACCGGTGAGCTGGGATGGAGGAAGGGCTTGGGTCCCGCCTGGCCACAGCTTTGGTACGTTACCTTGTTCTGTGAGGTCTACTCTTTTCTCCAAGTGTATGCAGTCTGGTGCCATCCTCTTTCCTGTTGCTCTCTCAGGATTAGTTGCACCAACTATATTTTCTAATTGTATCCAGTTTTAGGAGGAAGCCTCTGTCTCTCCTCTCATGCCGCTATCTTTAATCCCCTAAGACTGCACAGTCTTTTATACAGGTATTTCTACAACTACCTCCAAAATTCCAGAAAACCCCATGTTCTTTTTTTACACTCCAGGCGGACTATTTCCTGGTAACTTAGCACTGCCAACACAAACCACTTACCCAGTTACACAGGTGCAGCTTATATACGTCTGTATTACTGATGTAAGTTTGTATTACTTACACATGTAATGAGTCTGTTCATTATTTCTTGCATGTGAGTCTTAAGAATACCTACCTGCATTTATTAGCCCCTAAATAAACTTCAGACTTTTGATTATGTTAATAGCATATAAAATTTTATGGAGGAGCACAGGTATGGTACCTTTACTGGGCCTGTAGCTTGGATGCAGTTAGACTGATTGACGGGCCTTGGTGAAATTTTTTGGCAGCCCAAACTGTACAGGCAAAACTGAAGCCTTGGTGCCCTCCAGTGGCATACTGGTTCTTACAGTCAGACAACAAGCTTCTCAACTAGCAATAGGCAGGCATGTATAAGTATAGAAGCCACAGGATAATAAGCATTGGGCATTTTCCTAGATCTTTACTTGAAAATTTTTGGGAAAAAGGTAGGTAATGCAAAACATTTTATATTAAAACAAATACAGATAATATTGAATAGAATACAAAATTTACATTACTTTTTGAGACAAAGTAAGAGACACCAAAGATGATTTCAAGGTAAGCTACCCATGACCTTAAGGCTGTATTCCTTAACCCTGGGGGAGCAAGGAGATTGATTAGGCTCACTCTGTTACGGGTGCTGTGGCTGTAACAGAGAAGTCTGAGAAGCAGCAAATTAAGTGCTTATTCATTTGGCAACATCCCAACGGATTACTTAAACAAGTGAAACCATATCCTTTCCCATTTAGAGCATATTAACCAGCTTTCAAAAGGCCTGAGTAAATAGAAGCTTTATGCTTGAGTTGAAATTTACTTCTTTCACGTGATTTTTTTCCTCTCCTGTATATGTTAACATGCCTGAGGGGGTAACATGTGGGGTGGTCAACCACTGTAAGAATCCTGTGTTGACTTCAGTCTGCATTATCAGGTATGAAGTTACAAGGAGACTTTCCAAGAGCATCATTAGGAATGAAAACGAACTAGTCACCTTCTGCAAGAACAACAAAAAGGAAGAACAAAAAATGATATATAATCAGAACTGTCTAACTGTGTGATTTAGGAACTGGCAAAGATTTGGCTCTTGGAGAAGAGGGCTGCTGCTGCAGTATTGCTTTTCAGTTTATACAACCACAGTAATTTCTTCTGTGGCAAAAAGAAGCCCTTACACTCCCATTCCAAACTGTGCTTATAATCTATATCTGTCCTTTTATTTTTGTTATTGGTTACAATTTAATACATTCAATAATATACTGAAGGCATGAATGCCTCATGTAGAGATTTGTTAGGGTTAATTTAGCAAAGTATTGTCCTTTTTTGAAGTATGAGAAACAGGGTTAATCAAATGTGCTTAGAAGCATACAATGGGAGGCAGATTCTGCTGGATGCTGCTGAATTTTTAGGATCTATTAAAGAAAAGGTCATTTATAACCTCCCATATGGTTTTGCCTTATTAAATGTCTTAAGGTTTACAGAATTATTTCTTTCTTCTTGGGATCACGTTCTTCATTTTACAAAGCCTTAAATTAACACTCAAAGCATAGGACCTGTCTGTGCCTTTAGGAAAACCTGAACTTTTTTTCTGTTTAAAAAACATGAAGAGTCTGGAGCAAAAATGTTCCGTATCAGAATAACTAAACAGGGAATATCGATGGTAAATTACATTGCGCTGAGAAAAGGAAAAAGACAGACACCAAACACCTCCATTTTTCCAAGATTAAATGATTATTAAAAAAAGTGTGCCACACTATATAGAAATCAACATTCTCTCCCATAATTCTGTGCATCTAGGACTAAAGATATGTCACTGTCCCTGTCTCACATCTTCAAATTAACATTCTCAGGTCATAACAATAAGTCTTCCCAAAGGGGACCTTCCGGAAAAACAAGCTATTTCCTCGGCTCATATTTCCCTGGAAAAAACAAAAACAAAAACAAATAAAGTCTAGTGTGAAGATGTGGTTAGCCAGTCCAAATCAGTATATATCAAATGGGACATGTTTCTGGGAGACATGATTAAATTATGACCAGGACCAAACTGGGATTATCACCTCAGCATAGCACTTTGTATTCCCTGACTCAAGCTGAGTTTTAGTGGAACTAACTACAGTTCTGCCATATGGGTAAAGCAGGAATGTCTTATATTAGACAGAATTTCGAGTTTGGATTCTGGGTCATCAAATGAGTCAATATATAGAAAATGCTGAGAACACTCCTAACATTCAGTAAGTGCTAGCTTTTACTTTTTAATGGAATGGTCATGTCTCTAGGAAGTACTCATAAAATCTTAAAATTAAAGTAATAATGCTGTGAGCTTTTACTTAGTTGACTATGAAGTTAGACAGCCTGCACACAGAGATGCTGCTCTCCAAACAGAGGCTGTAACCTTGGGTTATACACAATTAGTGTTAACTGTTCCCAGTCCCACTTTCTTCACTGTGAAGTGGGATGATAAAGAATGACATCTAATCTTCATATGGTCACTCTGAAGATTACATGAATTGATACATGGAAAGCTCTTAGTATAATGTCTGATAAATAGTAAATACCCAATCAAGATTTGCTGTTGTCTTAAGGATTTATAGCACCAATTGTTACCTCTATAGATAAGGGGTCTGATATTCCTACATTTTCTGTTTTCCTTCTATAGTAGGGGCTTAGTTACAAAACAGGGAAAGAAGGGCCATCTTTCCTTTTAAAAAGGGGCCACAAAAGGAGATTGTCCAACAGAGAGCATAAAACTCAGAATGAGACCCAGAACATTCAAATTAGGTATGCACAGAAACCATTCTAGCCTGGATTCACAGAGGGGACCTGCTGGGCATGCACACTGAGCAAAAGCAACCACAGTCGCACATAGGCCTTTTCATTCAGAGTTCCCCTAAGTTCAGGCTGGGGAAGCCTAAGCTCTGTGAACAAAGGCCTTTCTCATATGTGTCACTGGTGCTATAATGTAATGCAACAAAGAGCTTCTTCATAAACATTCTTCTACAATCCTTTAAAAAGTGCTTCCCACTCAAAAACAGCTTTAAGCTAATGGCCATTTTAAGTGATCTGCTGTCAAATTTAGCACACAGCCACCCATTATTTTGGTTCCTAATAAGGCTTTGCCTAGATTGGTCAAGAATCTTTGGTTGCAATGACTTACCTCACAGCAATAATAAACAGTAAACTAGAGTCTGGACAAAACTATCTACTAACAAGACTCTAGAAGTTAAGAGATCAGTTTTCTCAACATCACTGTGAGAGTGTCATAAACAGCTTCTCATTTCTCAGTTCCTCTCTACTATATTATAGGACAACACTTAAATATATAAGGAGATTCTGAGAAGTCAGAAAAAGATGAGGTTGGAAAAAACCAATCTCAAATCAAGGCAATCGTTTTAACAACTAGTAAGACTATCCAGACCCTATTTGTAACCTGAATGTGATCACTCAAACAGCTTCCAGATTACATCTAGGGATTCTTATTTCTTTATTCCCCACTCCCTGCCACCAATGATTCCTAAGCAGCACATTTTACTACTATGCCAGAGTGACATATGGAACATTATAAAGGGTACATTAACTGGTAGGTAAAGGATAAGCTATAAGAATTAACCTGAGATCCCAGAGACATTAATGACCCAACAAAAACAAAATAAATAAAATAAAATATGAGGAGGGATGAGGAGGAGGAGGAGGAGGAGGAGAGAATGAGAGAGAAGTACCTCTTTTTGTAGCATGCACCAGCAATCTACCCAAGATGTATATATTGGGGAATAAGGAGGGGACCCACCAGCAAGCCTGAAATAGAAAAAAAGATCAGCTATTCAGTTAACATTTATAAAGCATTATCTAAGGAGTTTAATAAATCTTGGTCAAAATATTCTCCTATCTAGAAGATTACCTGAGGGGCAATTTTAGTTGTAATGAAATAAATTACACTGCAGCAGGGTAAAGAGCAAGCATCCAAAAAGATTTTCCCTCCCTTATACTTAGGTTTTGAATCAACAAAGAGACATTTCAATCAGTTATGAATTTTCTAAAACATCTAGGTTTTTAATTTAGGGACAAATTAAATTCTAGAACATGGCAATTATATGATTAAGAGCAGGAAAGGGAGATTTAAAAACTAAGTGGTGCTCAAAAGAACCTAAATATGACAATGGATATAAACAGTGTTGACTACATGCTCTTTACTCAGGTGTAAAACCCCTATCACTTCTTCTCTAAAAAATTGTAAGGAATAGTAATAAACTGAACACATCATTCTAGTATGCTCTGGGCTAAAATGCAGCAGCTGCTCTATAAATCATAAAACAAACAGAATGGAACATGATATAAAATACAATAACTGCACTCAAAACTACACAGATATATTTGACATATTATTTGAAAACAATGACACGTCTAATAGCATACTGTTTCAGGTACTGTACTGGGACAGAGTTTTCAATTAATAGGTAAAGCTTCTATCCAACTTGGTGAGGTCACTTGTTACCTAGAAGCTGTAGATCAATGGGGTCCACCAACATACCACCACCCACCCATCCTAACCAATGCTGTGAAAGGTTAAGCAACTTTCCATGGACTAAATATCCTATTTTCCTTTTTTAAAACTCACTTTCTCCATGAAGCCCCTAGGAGAAACAGGTATGGGTTATCATTAAATCCCTGACACACCTTCTGTAACTTTCATAAAAAAAAGAGGATAAAGATTTAAAATAAAGGAAAGATGTAAAAATAGAGTAATTGATAATTATTCTGCCATTTTCAGAATAGGACCTTAACTACTGGCAAGCGCATATTATTTGTAAGTACTTGAGAAATAATACTTAAGTCCTTCTCTATTCCAAAAAAGGATATGAGGTGGCTGTTTGTAATATAAAGTGATGCCACTGATATGGGACATAGAGAAAATTAGGAAATCTAGAAATAGCATCAATGACTTTTCTTCCCCAAATTTCGATTGGCCAAGTACTTGGGTAAGAAATGCAAGGTACTTACCCACAGTTGTTGACAGCCATAAGATTAGACACAAGCACAAAGGGATATGTCAACATACTGGCAAAAAACTGTAAAATGGTAAAAAGACAATTAAGTTATTGGGTCATTCCTAGTATTCTTTATACTCTGCTTTAAAGTCTTGGTGCCACCATGGTCAATTACTCCAATGCTGGATTTGCTTTCTCAGTACCCCAGCAAAGACTAAATTACACATTTTGAGCCTGGAGATGCTTCCTCCTTCTAAAATACCAGTACATCCAATATTTTAACAAAAGGCCAGAAGACTTCCCTTAATTTGTGATTGAGCCCTCATTCAAATAAAACTCAACAGCATTATTCAAGAGAAAAAGTAAATAAAAAGAAAACATGAGCATCCTTTCAAAGACGATGGAAACTAGTTCAGAACTTAACTGCTTTAAGATCCCATATGATTAAATTGGGTGAAGTTCTCCAAGGATCAGCATGATGTGGTAGTAAGAAGTAGGCCTGATAATCAGGGATGAGAAAGGCCAACACCCCTCTGAAAGCTGAAAAGCAACAACCCTGTGGGCTTGCCATTGCTGTTATGTGACACAGGAACCCTGGGCTACTCAGACACACATTAACAGATTTGAGGGATGTTCCTGTGAGACATTTGGTGGCTTTAAAGCAGAGATGATATAGGACAAATTTAAAAGAAAAAAACACAACTATTCCCAGAAGGTTAAGAGGATTTAAAAAACTCACTCCAGTGACAGCTTGGGAATAACTCTTCATTTCATTCATGGTGGAAACCTAAATAGGCAGAAAGCCTTTGTGAGAATGAGTAAGAACATTAAGCTGATATTCACAGCTAATTGTCCCCAACCATATTAATATATTCTATCTCTAAGTTATTAGTTCCTTTGATGGCTTGAAAATTAATTTTGAGGGTTAAAACATAAAATACTGATTAAGAGCATAAAAAGGCAGTGCTCACAATGATTAACTTGATTCAACATTAACAGACAAATTTACATTAGATTAAGTTGGCCTAAGAACAAATAGCTTCAAGGTTTCAAAAACAAAAGAAAATGAGATTGGTAGACTTTTACCATGCCATAGAAATACAATCCCTGGAAACTGCATTTACGGTCAATCTGAAGAACAAGTCACTACCTCTGTATAAACCAAGCTGTGTACCATAACTTTCAAGATCCATCTCCAAACTCAAGAAGCTCACAACATGGCTGAAGTTCCTAGAAAGCCCAATACAGGAGGTCCCCTTAACATGTCAAATTACATAGAACAATGCAAATATATTATGAAATTTTCATGCCTCACCGGGTCTGCTAAAACTAGGTATTAGTAAGGAAGTGATCTCTTTGCAGGACAGACACTGAATTAAATGCCTTAGGCTTTCACTGCCACATTCAAGGAACTTCTTTTTTTTTTTTCTGTACATAATTATTTTTTATTAAAGGGTAGTGGACACACAGTATTACATTAGTTTCAGGTGTACAACACAGTGATTCAACATTTATATACATGATAATTCTAGGTACCAGCTATCACCATACCAAGTTGTTAAAATATTTTGACTATATTTCT